TTGGTTTCATCGTCCTCAGAGCCCAGGTGCCGGTACCGTTCTGAGCGCGCTGCAGGAGGGAGAGGCACACACAGCCCACGTGAAGGGGCTGTGAGGGTCCTGGGGTGTGTGGAGAGGGTGCGGCAGGGGCACCACATGGCAAAGGCTTCCAAGTGGGGTATGCCCTGTGTGTTTAGGGACAAGTGGCTGGGGCAGCAGAGTGCCTATCGGGGAGTCCCTCCGAGCTGTGTCCATGAAAGCGGTGGGACCGTGGGTAGGAACTCTTGTGTCCATGTGTTAGTGTCTTCACCCTTGAGAGAGGTCACCCAGAATTAGGAAAATGGTGCACCTCCAATGTAAAGTATGTTCCTCGTCTTACAGAGGAAGAGACAGACACTCAGAGAGGACCTCTGACATGCCCGAGATCACACAGCACGTTCTGAAGAGGCGTTGGAAACCAAGGGCATTGGCTGTGTTTGGCCGAAGCCCTGAGTGGGACGAGCCTCTACAGCAGCTGGGCCAGGTGCCCCGCCCTGTGCGACAGACCGGGTTCCATGCTGGAATGCCAACCTGCTGCAGGACCCGGGCAAGGATCTGCCACATTAGTGCCCTGCTGTCCTCGCCCACAACGTGAGCGGGTGCAGCACCTCCTGAACCCAGAGCAGGAACCAGCTGGCAGACCTGCCTCAGCTTCTCGGGAAGTTCAGGAAGTTGGAAGCTCTAGGCCCAGGGTGAGAGGCAAGCACACACCCCGCTCCGCTCCTGGGACTGGTACTCACTGTCGAAGTAGCTGGTGTCGTCCTCGGCTTCCAGCTGTGGCACGAACTCGGCCTTGTGGCGCAGAAGCCCCGCCCAGTCCAACGTCCGGAAGAAGGGGTGCTGCTTGACCTCATGGGTGCCACCTGCAGACATGCCGGCTGAGCACTGTGCGCCCTACCCCAGACTTCCCAACATAGAATCAGAAAGATGGGGGGCGGGGGGGGGAGCCGGCCACCGTTTAAGAGCCCGGAGAGGAAGAGCTGGGGCTTGAACCCAGGTCCGGCTCCTCCTTCTGGTGGATTCTGGGATCCCACCACCCGTAGAGGCCCCAGGGCCTTAGAAGGGCTTCCCCTGGGCCGTCCCCACGTTGCTGCTCCCTGGAGTAGAGCGGACTGCGTGAAGGCGTCCTGTTCCCCAGCCTCAGCGCTCCTGTCCTCTCCCATGGCCCAGCTTCATCATGAACATGACGCCCCATGTTAATGGGTGGCTGCATACGTCTCAAATGGTTCTTTAACCATCCACTAGGTGACTGTGGGAGCCACTGGGCTGGGCCACTGAGGGCCTTAGGGCACGGCCCCTGGTGATCTTGCGGCTCAGACACTCACTCAGCCTCAGCGTTCTCCCCCTGCACCCGAACCAGCCACCTGCCATTCCTTCAAGGTCTTGTGCTAATTCTTGGCAAACACCTATGCGTCCTTCAAAACCCCAGCTCCCAGTCCTTCTCCTCCATGCAGCCCGTCAGGTAGTTCTTACTGACCCCAGCCTCCACACGTACCAGTGCCAAGACGGTCCAGGGGGCTCTGCCGAAGGAGCCTGGTGATGAGGTCCTGGGCGTCAGCTGGAAGGGCGTCCTCCCCTTCTGGCCACATGATCTCATCTAAAATAGGGGGATGCGGGGAGAGGGCTGGGATGGTCAGGCTTGGTCCCGCCGCCCAGCCTCTGCTCTGGCTGTGCTGTCTGTCCAGAGCACCTTCCCATCTTCTACGGCGTAGCTCCCTCTCACCTTCAGGTCTTTGCTCACAGGTCGTCTCTGAGGCCCCCTCAGCTCTCTACTTACTGCAGCGCCCCCAGCACCCTGCTGCCCCCTCTCCTTTCTGTGCCTTCTCCTTCTTGGCATTTTTGGCATCTAATTGCTCCATAATTTGTTTATTTATCTCGCTAACTGTCCTTCTTGCCTCCAGACAGTGTGTGCCAAAGGGCTGTCCATAGTGTCCGCAGCTGTGTCCCCAGTGCCCAGCTGGGGCCAGGCATACCACAGGCACATGGCCCACACCGGGGCGGCCCTCTCTCACACAGGTGGGCAAACTGCTGCCCTGAGCCCCAGAGACTCGAACCCGTGGCCCCCTGGGGGGTGGGGGGAGAACGTACCACTGACCACCTGGCCGAAGAGCTCCTCGGGGGTATCTCCAAAGAAAGGCACACAGCCCACCAGGAACTCATAGAGGACAACGCCCATGGCCCACCAGTCCACCGGCTTGCCGTAGCCCTGGCGGAAGATCACCTCAGGCGCGATGTACTCGGGCGTCCCACACACCTGGGACGGGATAGAACGGGGAAACTGAGGACGGCCCCCAGCCCAAGAGGAACCCCGAAGAGTCAGGGAGGCCGGGGCCAGGCTGGGAGTAAGGGGTGGGGAGAAGTGCAGGGGACAGTTCATTTTCTCCTTTTTTACAGCCAACTCTCGCCATGTCCTGGGGCCAGGCTCCAGGCGGAGGGGACCCCACACGCAGGGGCGCCTGCCCACCCACCTGCTTGTCCATGAACTCCCTGGTGTCCTTCTCAATGTGGCCCTCGTAGAGGTTGGTGGCCATGCTCATGAGCCCGATCTTGGACAGGCCGAAGTCGGTCAGCTTGATGTGGCCCAGCGAGGTGATCAGCAGGCTGCGGGCGGGCAGGCGGAAGGCTCAGGCTAGGGGCCCCGCGGCCCTTGAACTTGGCTCCACCCAGGATGGGCCAGAGCCTCCCAGGGGATTAAGAAACCCTTCCAGTGCACAGCCACATCATCACAAGAACCCACGGGTCTCAGGCGGTATGACAAATCTGGCAAATGTCTCTGTGCACCTATTGGGTACATTAGGTGTTGCTATTGAGCACCTACTGTATACTTTGCTGTGCAAAACTAAATTTCCTGGGAATCACAGCCTCTTCCAACTGTGTGTTACACCATCTCCTGAACACCTCCTGGGGGGTGGGGGGGGTGGTATCTAGTGTACTTTTGTACACACATCCATTACTGTAACAAATTAAACACTTTGCAAGCACCCATTTTTTTACATTCCATGTTGAAAATTGAGCCCGGCCAGTGCAGCTCAGTGGTTGAGCATCGACCTGTGAACTAGGAGGTCACAGTTCAATTCCCAGTCAGGGCACCTGCCTGGGTTTCTGGCTCGATCCCCTGTGTGGGAGTGGGGGCGTGTGTGCAGGAAGCAGCCAATCCATGATTCTCTTCCATCATTGATGTCTCTATCTCTCCCTCTCCTTCTCTGAAATCAATTTAAAAAAGAAAAAGAAAACAGAGTATGTTTTCCAACATTAGGAACTATGGTAGACTGTTTAATACCCACACTTTTCTTATCCAAT